TGCCAGGCTCTCGAGACAGCAAATGGCTTTTTTGTTATTGTTGTTCTTGTTGTGTTTTATTTTTACTGTTAAAACCTTAGCTCTTTTCCCAGAAAACACTGGGGGAGAGGGTGGACAGTGAAACATAGGTGGGCAGAATAGAAGGAAATATAGATGAAAAAGGAAACTTGAAATCGGGTAAGGGGAAATCCAAAAGCAACAGAGAAAGTGTATCCTGCCTCCCATCCAGAACTCTGATATGCACCATACAAAGAGCAAGGAGCACAACCATAGGACAGATACAGCATGAAAGACACCTTTGAAAGGTGGAAAAGAGTGAGGTGGGAGGTTACAAACTAAGTGAGCTCTCTACAGGAAAATGGAGTCAGCCACATATTCACGTATCTAAGTTCTATCATATAAAAATTTAAACCTACCACTAAAACGCTTAGATCTGGAGAACTGGTGTAGTTTTGCTTTGCTCTAAATACACGGGTTTTTCAATAAGGAGTATCAAGACCCATTCACTTGTTCAAAAAGAATTTATTGACTACCTACTACGTTCCGATTATACCAGGGATACAGAGGTGAACCAGATAGACAAGCTCCCTGCCTTCATGGCTCCCACTTTAGCTGGGGAGACAAGTAGAAAATATGTAAAGAAAGAATTAAAGAACATAATTATAGCCCATAATAAAAGGATAATGAGATATAAAGGATGGAGACACTTCGGACAGACTGAGGAAGAAAGTTCTAGAACTTGCCATGCATGGCAAGGAACCAGAGAAAAGGGACACGATTCATCAATCCCTGATTGCTTTTCCCACCACAGAGCTAGGAAGAATAAGAGAGTCTTTCTTGAAGAATCTCTTCCCTCTTGGCATCATCACCTTGGCTCCCTCCCGCCCCTGCCTGCCAAGCAGTGCACCATGCTCCCAATGTTTTCTCCACCGTCTTCTGAAATCTCAGCATCTCTTTCTTCTTCATTGTGGCAGTGAGATAGTTTGAAGCTCAGTCCATGCTTGTGTGCTGAAAAAGACTTAGACCTTTCAGAGAACAAATTGGCAGTTTCATAAGGGCCTTCTAGAGGGAAGGACACACAAAACAGGGACCATCGGCAAAGTGATCAGGGAGATATCTGGAAATTGTCTGGCTCCCCTAAATCACTCCTTGTAGGGAGACACTGCTCAGCCTATCAGGAGAGCTGCCCTTGATCCTTCAAAATTTGTTCCCAATATCACACTTTCCAATATTTAAGAGACAGAGTATAAGGATCCAACAAAAGAAACAGAAAAAAAGGGTGCCTGGGTGGCTCAGTTGGTGAAGCAACTGCCTTCAGCTCAGGTCATGATCCTGGAGTCCCACGATCGAGTCCCATATCAGGCTTCCTGTTCAGTAGGGAGTCTGCTTCTTCCTCTGACCCTCCCCCCCCCATGTGCTCTCTCTCTCTCTCTCTCATCCTCTCTCTCTCAAATAAGTAAATAAATCTTTATAAAAAAGAAGAAATAGGGAAAAAAAGTAGCCAGAGCAGTGGGAGAGAAACCAGGGAGAGATAAACATCAAGAAACCAGAGATGTTTCTGCATGGATGAAAAAGGGTCTGTGAAATTTAGCAAATGTCTTTCAAGTGGTAGAAGGGGAAGTCCACTTTTAATAGATAGCAAATGAAGATAAAGTGAAGACACATGCTTTAGGAAGCTTGCTGAAAAAAAAGAAGAAGAAGAAGAAGAAGAATTGGTAGTTAGATCACAGGCAAAGAGAGTGCAAACTGGAGTGTTCTATTCACATATGTGTATTTTTTTAGGATTAAATAGACATGAGCATGATTATGGGCTGATGAGAAAGAGCCAGTAGAGAGCTAGAGAGATGGAAAACACAGGAGAAACAAGGGCAAACCACTGGAGGAAATAAAACATCGAAGGACAAAACAAATCCATGACCACACCCTGGACCATCCACACAACCCTAGACTCAAATATGAAACTGCCCACGCACCATAACAAGTGACCATTTGCCACTTAGCACAGCAGTTGCTTGCACCGAAAGCCTGAAATGAAATCCTGACCCTTGCTTTCTCTCATACCCTCATATGCTGTGGGTCCTAACATTTGTCCAGAACCTAACCAATTCTAACTACCAATGGCATCATCTCTCACCTTGACTATTAACCTGTCTGCCCTCTGCCATCCTCGATCCCTCACAGTCTATTCTCCATACAGCAACCAGACTGATCTTTATGAACCACAAGACAAATCATGCCACTCTTTGGCCCCAAGCCCTCAAACGCCTTCCCATCTGACTCAGAAAAAAGTCACTCCTTGGACCTCGAAGGTCCTGTGTGGTTTGGCTGACCCCTCACTCCCAAGCCACTTCCCTCCTCCAGCCCGTCTTTGTAAGAGGATCGGAAAAGTCCAGGAATGCACATCTGCCACAGCAACGCTTTCCTTTTCAGAGAAATAAAAGAAAGGCCACCTCCTGAAATGAAGAAGAGCAGTCAGAGGTTGAGGAGAGGTGGAAAGAAAACATGGGAGAGTTGCACAAGAATAGCTATTCAGCAAAATGTGAGAGGGAGATGACCTAAAATAAGCAAAGATTTGTACGATCATGAACAATGCATTGTAGTGGCACCTGTTCACGTAGCTGTGGTTTACGCCAGCCAGTTCTCAACAGTCCCGAAACAGGAACAAAAGACACAAGTAGATTCAGGTTGAGGACTTTTTAAGACACAGCGCAGCAAGAGGACAAAGGATGCTGGAATCTTGAATGTTGGTGTGTGTCTGGGATGAGGGAAGAGTGTTCTCTAGCTAGACCCTCCAAAGAGAAGGGAGGTAGGAAATGCACCGACTATGCGGGTCCTTTGAGGCCTTTTCTAAGAAAACTGAAAAGGCCAAGTCAGAGGCAGCTCAGTGTAAGAAAAGTTCCCGAGGTCAATAACACCTATCAGTCAATGCCCATTTCTTTTGGCAAAGTCTAACTACAGGTATGAGCTTAAGTGTCCTTCCCTTACATTCATTTTAAATCAGTAAGGCTCCCAAATTACACTTTCATAGATGAAGACTTTTGGGGGGTTGTCAAAAACATAAATTCAACTTTAAAAAAGATTAGCTCCAGAACTAGCTTCAGAGAGAATTTTTTAAAGCCACCAGTATTTCCTGACAGTCAACCTCAACCTAATTCTCATCCCATAAAAATTTTCCTATCTACAATCATGTAGCCCAAAGCTACAACCACATACCTGGCACCTTTACTCCCAGGGAGGCCTAACTCAGTCATCACAATTTATGTGAATATTAATAGGTAAGAAGCAGTCACTTAGGAACTGGCTTAGAAATTGTTCCAAATGAAATCCCCTCTCTGAGCATACCAAAGCAATTCTTAAATCCATACATAAGGCCTTCTGGGTATAACATTTATTTTAGCAAATTCTAAATATATTCATATATGGATTTGTTAGTCTTTCAACCTTTGAAAAATTTTGTATTTTATTTCCAGCACAATTAAAATTATATATATCAATTGATCCTTGATATCACATAGATAAGGATCATCTAAGTCCCCAGGGCTTTTTCTCTAGCAGAGCACAATTCACCTACCAGGTAACAACCTATCTTGGACAATACACCCATTCATAGGAATCAACACAAATTTATTGGAAGGTTACCATATAATCTCATAAATAAAATTCTTCCCTGACTAAAATCCCTGTTCTTAGAAAGTGGGATTTCATAAAAACTTCTTACCAAGTCAATTTTATTTTCTATCTTATAACATGAAACTCCAAGTATATTTAATATATCTCATAGTCTAATTTAAATATATTTTATTGAACTTGAATGGTGATTCAGAAAAAAAGCATCACTGGCAGTGAAAAATACTGAGTAAGTATAATCTACCCGCACTAGGTTAATGGCTACTGATAAAATTATTTTCCTTCATACAAGAAAAAAAAAAGGTTTAGATCCCATAAAGGCAAATTCTCCATGTGATTCTCTCCCCTCAACTATCCAATGAAACTACTGCAGAAGGTCACCAATGAGCTCATGATGCCAACCAGACCTCCTAACTCACTGTCCCATTTATGATGCTGTTCTCCCTTCCTTCTTGACATTCTTTCATCCTTTGTTGCAACAAACTCTTCTTCTGGAGTCATGCTTCCTTTTTACCCCTCTCAGTTCTCTTCTCTACCCTTCTGTGGCTCTCCTTCCTCAAGTGTTACCCTTCACCAGCTTCTTTCTGACTCTACCCTGCACTCTCTTGACATCAGTTACTTTGTCTACACCATGATTCACAAAGAGATCCCACCATGCTTCACATCACTAGAACCCCAAAACACACTTTTAACTGCCTAACCTAATACACATCACCAACTAAATGACCTGCAGGCACCTCACACTAAACACATTCAAAATAGAACTATTCTCTTCCCCCAGGAATGGTTGCTTCTTCTTTCCTATCTCAGAAGAGAATTTAGTCATTCACTCAGCTGAATTAGCCAGACACTATCAGTCCTTTTGACTCTTCTCTTGACCATATTTGACACATTTATCCACTCACCAATAACAACTTAAAAAAAGGTTTCAGGAATTTTATACGCAACCTATTTTTGAGTATTCCAAATAACTCTACAATGAAGGGATCTCCATTTTACAGCTAATGGTTTAGATAATTGATGTAAATTCTTAATAAGTGAATGTAGGTTTGTCTGACTGTAAAGTCCATGGTCTTCTCATAAACCATGCTGTCTAGCTAGACTGTGGGAAGCTACGAATATGCCAAATCTGGCCTGCCACCTGTTTAAAGTTTTATTGGAACATAGCCATGCTTATTTATGTCTTTGCCTGCTTTAACATTACAATAGCAGAGATGAGTGGTTGCAACAGAGACTTACAGACCACAAAGCCTAAAATAGTTGTTATCTGTCCTTTTATAGAAAAAAAATTTGCCAATTCTGAAACTATACCATCCTCTATAACCCTACCACCTCAGGTTCTTGCAACAGCCTCCTAACTGGTTTCTCTACCCTCAGGCTTTATCTCCTCCAATCCATCTTCCACACTGAAGAATAAAGTTCTTATTTATCTCACAACCTTTAGGATAAAAGACAAATTCCTTATCAAGCTATGCAAGGCTTTTTGACATCCTAGTTCCTTCCTTCCTCCCCATCCACATCTACTTTCTGTTCAAGCCAATGTGAAATACATGGAGTTCTACAAAAGGGCCAAGCCATTTCATTACTGCTTTTTTTCACATATGTTCTCTTTATTTCAAAAAATGCCTAAGTCCTATGTGTTTTTTGTATTCTAAGCTCAAGAGTCACTTCCTCCTAAAAATCTTCCTGTATTGTTCAGGATAAGCTAGATAAACTTCTTTCATTCGTTCAAATTATGTTTAATGAGCCTAACTATCAACTAGGCACAATGCTTTATGCTAAATAAATAATGACAAATAGGACAAATACAGACCCTGTTCTTACCAGCCTTATAGTTCAGCCCAACTTCTTTATTCATCTGTTCAAAGTCTTAGCTCTTAGCTCATAGTATTAAGAGAGGTACGATGGACATGAAGATGGAGAAGGAATGGAGATGGGCAAGGAGTTGCAGATGGAAATGGGAATAGAGATGGAGATGAGGATGGAGTTGAGGATGGAGATGAAATGGGGATGCGGATGAAGATAGGAATGAGGAGGAAGATGGAGATGAGGATGGAGATGGGGATGGAGATGAAGATGGGGATGGAGATGGGGATGAGGATGAGGATGGAGATGGGGATGAGGACCTGGATGGGATGAGGATGTAGAAGGGGATGAGGATGGGGTGGAGATGAGGATGGAGATGGGGTGGACATGAGGATAGAGATGGGGATGGAGATGAGTATGGGGGCTGGGATGGAGATGGGGATGGAGACAGGGATGGAGATGAGGACAGGGACTAGGATGGAGATGGGGTGGAGATGGGACTGGGGATGGAAATAGGGATAGGGATAGGGATGGAGATGGGAATGAGGTTGGAAATGAGGATGTGGAAGGAGATGGAGATGAGGATGGGGATGGAGATAGGGATGGGGTGGAGATGGGAATGGAGATGGAAATGGGGATGGGGATAGAGGTGGAGATGAGAATAGGGATGGAAATGGGAATGGAGATGGAGATGGGAATGGGGATGGAAACGGGAATGGGGATGGAGATGAGGATGGGGATGGAGACAGAGATAGGGATGGAGTTGGCAGTGGGAATCAGGATGGAGATGGAGATGGAGAGAATGGGAGAGAAAGAAATGATTCAGTGATTCTCTTGTCTGACACTCACCATGCCACTAACTTAACTCACCATACCACTGAAAGTATTGAAAGTATCCATTGAAAGTATCCAATTTGTCTCCTTAATAACAATACTATCAGAACACCTGGGACAATGCTGGATGAATTAAATAATTTTGAGTGATACAGAAACACAAGGTAGTTCCAGAGACCAAGTCCTTGCAAAGAGGTCAGGCTAGTTAATAGGCCACTGAAAAAATTTCCTGTTTTATGGGAAAACTCAATCTTTAGAAAATCTGAGAGGTTTTGTGAAAATGTAACTAGGTATAAAAAGGAGCATGAGTATAAAAGAACATTCCTGTAAAAGATACAAGCTCTATTTTGAATAAGAAACGGAATAAAGTGCACATCACATAGTCTTTTTCTAACTACTGGACTATACATCTGAAACTACTGAACCATGAAAAAAGGTACTTATAACCCTGAACTTTGTGTTCCACAAAATGTTTTTCCTCATAGGATACTCAGAGCTCATTAAAGAAAAGAGACCCCCCCTCCCCAAAAAAAAAAAAGGAAATCTTTTTTACAAGCAGAGGTAAAGCAGACACAAAGAATTGACCCAGTTTCCAAAATAAACATTAAGCTTAAAATTCTCTCCATCTGGCTGAATCTAAAACCAGAAATGAAAATCAGCATGTTCACACTCCACTTCCTACCTACACCACAACAGCAAGGACAAGAAAAAATTCAACATGTTCCTTAATATTATATCTCAGTCATCTAAAGTCTCATGTTAAGATTTGTAGAATAATTTTTTTAATATTGGAAAAGGGCAATAGTTCACTTTTATGTTTTTTAGCATCATTTCTTTAATATTTATTTTCATTTTATTTTTTTTTCTTCCAAGTGTTTATTTAAATTCCAGTTAGTTAACAGTTCACTTTTAAACCTGCCTGGATATCCATAAGGGCCAAACTCCTTCAGAGTCCCCACTGGCTCCCCACTGGTATACAGATTTCTCCCTGGGCCCCACTCTTATGTCCTGAAGAATGTCTTTTTCTGCTTAATTTCTATTTGAAAAACACTTTTCTTTCCACAAGCATATTTTCTATTCTCTACAATATCTCCTGACAATGTCCCCTTTACTCTTCACTGAATATATTCCATATAAGATGCGTGTATAAAACAAGGTATGTAACATACACGAAAAGCCCTAAAACCTGTGACATCTCTTCCATTTCATTATTAACCCCATTCCAATAAACAGCCCAATTCTATGAATAGTGGTATAACTGCACTAACAGAATCTTAGATATATAAAATGTTGGCACTGAAAGAGACCTTAAAACTCATTTATATCAACTCCTGCATTACACAATTGAAAAAACTAAAACCCAAAGAGATTCAAAGACTCTCCAAGGTCACATAGGCCTTTGCCTTCAACTTATTCTATATTCTCCCAATCTCTAGGTCTCACCATTTTCTATTTATTTCCTTTTCTATAGAGAGAGATAAAAGCAATGCCTATAATCGCAGCTTGGCTTTTATCTGAACTCCACAGAGAATGCTAAATTAGATCACCAACTGGAGAATATGATGCGCGGCATCAGTCTCCTCTGCATGATACTGAGTGACCAGTATGTAACTAAGTGGTCCCTGGTGGCTTAACCACCCACATGGAGATTTGAATTTCTCTTCATACACATCCCACTGGCAGATGGTCCTGCTATACTTCTAAATGTGCTAAACCACTTGCCTGCTGCATTATAAACCGTATCAGTCAATTACACAAAGATCTTAGACTGAGCTATCATCAATTACATCCTGTTTGAAAACAGCAGATTAGCATTATTATGACTACCTGCCTGTCTACCAATTAAATCTCAGCAGTTTTCATATTGATAGTTTTTAGTTTTGCTTTGTTTTACTTTTAAAGACTTAATTACATGGACTCCTGCCAGGACAGATTCTGATTGCCGTATACCACAAGTCAGGCTGCCTCAACCTAGCAACCAAGCAGGCAACAATAGAAAGATCAAAAAGAAAAAAATATTTTTAAATAAAGCAAGTACCCAGAGTCTAATCTTATAGTCCTTTGAAATATGCTATCTAAACTATGCTGTCTACATGTTTATTAATGTATTTAACAGTGTGTTAAAACAAAACAAAGCAAGCAAACAAAACCGAGAAAGAGAGGGAGAGAGAAAAAGAGAGAGAGATTTATGGTTAGACACAAATTACTTATGGCAAAAAGTTATTCATAACTTCTATTTTTATTTTATGTTTCTTTCTTTAAAAATTACAATGACAAATGCCAGTATATAGATTTTTGTAATGGTTGGGTTAAAGTAAAATACAATTTATATGATCATTTAGTAATGAAGAAAAAACTAAGTAAGTAATTACTTCCTTGATAAATCTTTAGAAGAGGATTCATAAAAATACATTAAGACAAAGGGATAATCATATCAGAAAAATTCCATTCTCATATTGCTTTTTTTTATAGCCATCAAAACAAATCATCTGTGCACTGAGATGCTTTCTGAATAGAAGCAAAATTAGTCAGTCTGCTAATCATGGGGAAAAAGAAAACTATTAAGGGCTCAATAAGATTATATAAATGAAATGGATTAGAAAACATTTCATGAAGATATCATGAAGTATTTGCTCTGCAAATAAGCAAAGAGATTACCCACATCTTGATCTCAAAAAAAAAAAAAAAAGTATGCTATTTTCCACAACTGACTTTTATTTTTTTTGGCAGAACTAACTACAAAAATATATTTTCACAAATGTCCTTTGGTGGTGAATTCCATGAACATCAGCAGGGTCATCAGGTTCATTCATGAATGGACAAATGCAAAGGAATGAGATAGTATACTATCCTGAGATAGTATAATGGCTGCTACCAGAGCCATGAAGTTCTACTCAAGGCATAGGGCATGCCAAAATTGAGAAGAGACAAATTTGAGATAAAGAATGCATGGTGGTAGACATATGTTGAGAAGATCCAAACAACTTTTCCAGTCCTGGAAATCTGAGCAGGAAGATTCTCCACCTCGGGCAAATGATGGACAAAGGATTTAAGTCTAAGAAATCCCCAGGTAGCAGATAAAAGAAATAACCCAGGGATCCTGCTGACATAGAAGGTATCAAGAGAGAACATAAGGTGACTGGGATTGAAGGAAGGACACAGTCATAAATTTTGTCTGAAGATTTGTCTGAAAGCAGCAAGCAGAACCCTGAGACTGTGTTCCTGGACAGAGTCCACATGCAATTCAGCATTAGGGGTGAAAGGACCTAGAGGTCAGAGAGGAGAGGCCATTAAAGAAAGAAGAGCGCTCAGAATGGACCTAGGAACTGGAATTGTTGCCATTAAAATTTCTCAATTTTGCTAGAAGGCATGAAAACTTTAGATGACTTTCTCCAGAAAAAGAGGCTATCATTTCACAAGTAGTGATTATTTTTCTCCACAAAATATAGGCGTTTTTCTCCACAGAGTATAGGCAGTTGGTTTCTCCACCAACCTTTTGATAAAACGTTTTTCTCAGCTACTGTGTTATAAGGTTATAAGTGGTACTTCTCAAACACCACTCAATTCTAGATTGACTAGAATCTTAGCACAACTAAAATCACGAAGCTTTCTTTTTCTATCTCCCTCTTCCTTTACTCTCCTTCCCCATCACACACACACACACACACACACACACACACACAGGCATACAGACATAACGCTAACTCCGGAGCTGCATCTATGACTGATAACACATACTGGGTTCTGGGAACAGCAGCAGTTTGTTTTGTTTGTCTTCCTTGGTGTTATTGTAGGGAGAAAAGTGAACTAAGATTACAAACAGCTGCAAGAGGCACATTTGGTTGATATTTTGAGCATGTGTGTCTAATAGATTTTGGAATTGCAAGAAGTTACTTTAACACTTCATGGGTCTTGACAGTTTTCTATCAGCTTCTTGGTGGCTGCAAAGGAAACATGCCATTAAATTACTAAGGACCCAGGGACTAAGAAGGAAATGAAAAAGCATTTCCCTAGAACACCCCCGGCAACAGAAACTGGACTTGAGGCATAAAAAGAAAACCGAAGTCAACAGGCAAAAGAAATGTCAGGAACTAGTTTATAAATGGAAAACTAATGCTCAGGTGTTAAGAAAATCGCACAAACTCAGAAAAGAAAAGGGCCAAGTTTAAGACCAGGTCTTCATCTTGAAATCAAGATAGGAACTAAATAGAGATAAAAGAAGGATAAAGACCTTTAGATATAGCACTACAACTGGCCATACATGAACTAGAGAAAGGATGTAACCAAAATGAACCAAATGAAGTTTTGAAAACTCAACTGAATCTACGTGAAAATTTTCAATGATTTGAAAATTCAATCGATGATGAAAATTTTCAATGTCTACCTAGATTCCAAAGGTAGACAGTAAAAAGTGGTGGGAGACAGGGTTGTTGGCGCTTTCACTAACTAGCCTCTTAGAACTTCTCAGGAACTTAGAGACATAGAGTTGGAGCAATCCAGATGTAGGAGCCACTACATTCCCAGAGGCAGACACAGGTGAACTCAGGGCTTTCACAAAGGAATCAGAGCAAAACCTTGAAGAGTGTGCATTTTTCCAGCATGTATCTTCATCAGAGACCTAACTGGAGTGGATTCAAGAACAGGAGATTCTCATTACAACCATCAAGGACATCTTCAGTTTCACTCATTTATACAACAAACTGAGATTGAGTATGGCATAAAAAGTTGTTTAGAAGCTGAGTATACAGAAGGAAAAATAGGCAAAGGCACTACTGTCATGGAACTTGCGTTCTGAAGGAAAAGAAAAATGGAGTAAATGTGTTTTCAGGTCTTGGTAAGTACAGAAGTAAAAGATTAAAGGGCAAGGATTAAGGGTGATTGGCTTTGGGTGTTCTCTTTTTATAGAGGATAGCATTGGGAGGAATTTCTGAAGAGGCAATTTGAGTGGAGACCTGCATGAATTCATGGCATAAATAAGAGGAGGGGTGTTATAAGCAGTGGGGAAGCAAGTATGAAGACCCTGAGACAAAACTGAGCTTAAAGTGTTCAAAGCAAGATGGCTAGCATGGATGGAATAGAATATGCAAGGGCAGGAACAATGAAAAGTGAAGTGGACAAGGTGGACAACAGCCAGACCATTAAGACTTTGATAGAAGGGTAGGGAATCTAGATTTTATATTATGTGCAATGGAAAACATCGGAGGGCTTCGAGTAAAGGAATGGTGTGATCTTATTTACTTTAAAAGGGCTACTCTCACTTTCTCTGACTGACTTATTTCACTTAGCATAATACTCTTTAGCTCCATCCATCACTTCTGGGTAGAGACTATGGGGCAAGAGTAAAAATAAAAGGAACATATAGAAGATTGTAGTAAATGTCCAGACCAGTGATGGTGATTTGGTCTTGAGTGGTAAGCTACGGAAGTGGAGAGAAATAATCAAATGTATTCTGAAGGTAAAGCCAACAAGACTGGTTATAAAAAGATGTAATAAATGAGAAGAAACAGGAATCTAGGATGATTCCTATGTTTGGGGCCTGAGAAACAAAGTGAGTAGTGCTATCCTTCAACTCTATATAGATTTTTTTTTCTATTATCCTATTGTTTAAAAATCTTGAGAAAAAAAGAAAGAAAAACCTAACTATGCTAGTCCATCCACTTGCAAAATAGTTTGGCAATTTCTTTTAAAAACTAAACATACATTTATTGTGTGTCTCAACAATCTCTTTCCTGGATATTTATTCCAGAGAACTGAGAACTTATATCCAAAAAAAAAAAAAATTGTACACAAATGTTCATGGCAGCTTTCTTTGTAATGGCAAAAACTGTAAACAATCAAAATGGCTTTCAATAGATGAACAGTTAAACAGTGACATATCCAAACCATGAAATACTACGCAGCAATAAAAAGGAATAAACTATGGATACACTCAACAACTTAGATGGCTTGCAAGGGGTTATGCTGAATGTTAAAAGCCAATTTCAAAAGGTCACATTTTGCATGGCTCCATTTACATGACATTCTCAAAATCCCAACACTATATAGATGAAGAGCAAAACAGTAGTTGCCAATGCTTAGGGATGCTTTGGGGGAAGGGGTGGGTATGACTATAAAGGAGTAACATGCAGAAGTTTTTGTGGTGATGGAACAATTCTGTATCTTGATTTCAGTGGTAGTTAAAGGAATTTACACATGATAAAACAACACAGAACTACACACACATATTGTATTAGTGACAATGTTGATCATGTGCTGGATTGATTATACAGGATGTAACTATTGGAGGAAACTAGGTAAAAGGCGCAAAGGCCTTCTCTATACTATCTTTGCAACTTCCAGTGAATCAATAATTGCTTCAAAATAAATTTTCTTAAATCTAACTATGCTCGAGTATAAGGTAAAATGCATTATATAAATACTAAAGGCAGTATAGTAATAAATACCACTGACAAAATGTCGTCTTCTGAATTTATAATGCGCCAATACATTTTACCATGTTGGGTGTTAGGCAGCAGGTTTAATTAATCATCAGGATCTCTTTGTATACAGGAACATATTTCCTCCTAAAGGCCTCTGAAGTAGTAGCACTTGGCATTCTCAATCTACCTCCTTACCTCTAAACAGCAAGTAGAACCTGTGTGTTCTGGTTTCTGCACCTGCATAAAGGAGTGTAGAAAGACGGAAGCTAAACTGCTAACATCGGTGCTCTAATAGCTATCAAAAACTTTTAACTCTGAAAATGTGAAAACTGCCTTACATTGACCCAAGATATTGACCTTTCATGGGCCACCTGACACTCCTGGACTCTTAACATCTTTCCCATCGGTGTCAAAATACAAACCTCTGCAATGTGGAATCTCAAAAGGATGGCTCAGACCACAAACCAATGACCATGACCCAAAGGCTTAACAGGTGCTAATAACACTAACCATACCTCTAGTACGATGATCTTAAGGTTACTCTAGGGGTCAGAACTAGGCTTGGATAAATCATCTAAGTCAACCTGAAGGGGTAGATGATGGTGAAATCTCCCTCAAAGTCTTCTTTTAAAATAGCTTCTTTGATACGTATCTCCTTAATGTTCTGATCTGACATAATCCATCCTCAGTCTGAGTGGAGAACATGTGTTCTTTCACTCCTTAAAGAACATTCTACTCCCTGGAACACCATACAGACATTTAGTACTCAGGTGTGCCTGCTAAATCCTGGACACTTTTGTCATTGCCAAATGAGCTTGTATTTACTAATCCTTTCATTCTCTCAAAGGCGCATATATTCAACCTAGAGTGTTTGTAATGAAGACCAGATTTATAAAACTTTTTTATGAGTCCTAATTGTAAAAAAACAACATAAAACTATCCTGAGATCAGTGCTAGTCAAGAATTCAATTACTAACTAAAGTAGTTTCTAAACTATGTGTCTCCCATCATATCCTGTCTGCTTTTTTTGGAATTTAATACACAGCCAACAAAACCTATGGGATGTGCTAGATGCTGCCTTTCTAGATGCTAGTCTCCCTTGGAAAGAGCTCTGCCAGACAGGATGCTGTGAATAGAATTAAATCAAAGAGCTCCCATCCTGATTTTTGTATCAGTCTATCTACACTGTTTTTCATGTGCTAATACATTCTAAAATGTAAAATACATTATTTGCATATTTATATTCTAAGGCTGAATAAAAATTAAACCAATGCAAATAATATGGATTAAACGCCTTTCTGAAGAGAAAGTAGCTTCATTTTAATCCTATTAGAGATTGGAGTCTGGAAAACTGCCAGCAACAATGATTTTTTAATTAAAAAAGAAAAAAAACAAGATACTTACAGCCAACCATCATCATGGCCACTGAAAACATCTTCTCCACATCTGTGGTAGGAGCTATGTTTCCAAATCCTATGGTTGTAAGGCTTGTCATGGTAAAGTAGAGAGAGGACACGTACAGAGAATCCTTGCTGGGTCCTCCTTCCCATATCCCTGCACTGGTATTATATCGATACGGAGTCCCAATGCTCAAGGCCAGCTGGTAGAGCCAACTGTCTATTTGGATGGTGTTCGTCACTTCATCGATGACCTCATAGTCCCCAATGCTGTACCATATGCAGGCCAGCCAGTGGGCAACTAGTCCAAACACACATACCAGGAGGACGAGGACTGCTGCTCCATACTCTAGGTAATGGTCCAATTTCCTAGCAACACGGCCCAGTCGCAAGAGACGCACCACTTTTAAAGAACTGAAGAGACTGCTGATTCCCTAAAGAAAAGAAAAGAAATGACATGAGACTTTCAGAAAAGAAAAGGCTGGGGAACAATTCAATGGTTTACCTTCACGAACTTGATTGCCCATCTATAGGCTAAGAACATACACATAATATATCTCTGACTTTAAGTCAACAAAAATGCTGGAACGGTAAAGAAACTTTTCTTAAAAAAAGCAGATTTTCCCCAAAGAAATAAGATATTTCTGAATTATTAAATAAGACAACTTTTCATTAGCTAAGGAAGTCCAATTTGTCTTCAGAAGTGATGTATAAATAGCACAGAGAAAAACTAAAGGAGAAAATTGCTCAAGTGCAATATATACAGAGTACAGAAATAGGATGATGAAATCAGACCTTTTATTACTTCTTCCTATAAAACTTATCCTCTACTCAAAAACATTTATTTTTTTATTTCTCACTTTATAATAACCATGAGCACCAAACTTCTGAGAAAGGAATCCCAATCTTACTGGCAAGTAAACAGGAAATACTCCTGGGTATGTGGGGAGAATGACCAGGTGCCATTGTTGTTTCCACTACCTCCTGTCACAGTCATGATAAGCACTAAATTTGTAGAGCTCTGAAAAAGTTAAGAGTTGAACGCAGAATGGGCACATAATCTACAAAATCCTATCATCCCCTAGCAATAGTCATAGAAAAGAATACTAAGGGAACAGCAGCAAGATAATTCATATTTTGCTGAGAAGCTTAAAATCCAAATACAGCATTATCCAAATGGAAATACAGAATACACTTTCTTCAAATACCGAAAGTCCCATAGTAATTTTTTTTTTTTGGAAGCATATATTAAGCCATGTGGGGAAAGAGGATAAATTCATTCCTGATGCAGGGAGGGAAGGTAGAGCTGTGATCGGGAAGCCTCTCATCTGACCATCACCTCCAAATCTCATGAGGTCTATGACTCCATTATTGCTAATTCTTTCTCCCAGGGAGGAGACAAGGAGTCTAGCATAACTCACTCTGAGCTTCCTTCTGACCAACACAGAGGAATTGGGTGGTATAGTGGAACAGATGTGACATTAGTAAGACACTAATTTTGGCATCGTAAGGTTCTTGATAGTTAAGATGAAAGGGTTAAGAATGCATTTGGTTGGGACGCATGGGTGGCTCATTTGGTTAAGCGTCTGCCTTCAGCTCAGGTCATGATCTCAGGGTCCTGGGATCAAGTCCCACTTCGGACTCCTTGCTCAGCAGGGAACCTGCTTCTCTCTCTGCCTACCGCTCCCCCTGCTTGTGCTCTATCTCTCTGACAAATAAATAAATAAAATCTTAAACAAAAAAAAAGAATGCATTTGGTTATATTATACTCCATATGGTAGCATACGACTGAGATATTTCAAAATAAATATTTGAAAGAGAGAGAACAAAGAGAAGTAGAAACAAGAGACCTTGTGGAAACGAAAGTAGCAGGAACATTTTGACAGTTTTCTGTCTCAAGCTCAATATCTTAGGTCTGGCTCTATTTCAATTCCTGCTCTTAAATGCTGTGGCATCAATGCGCAGCCTTAAAATAAATTCTCATTTTGCTTGAACACTTGAGGGGGGGCGGGGAAAACATACTGAACTTTAGGCAGTTAAAAAAAGTAGAACTATGAAAATTCAGAAGATGAATTGGCATAATGCAGTGACCTGAGATCTTGGAAGGTAAGAAGATTCAAGAGAACTTGGAAGCTCTCAGAAATGAAACTGTGTAATCACAAACAAAGACAAAAATAAGCATTTATTAAGCACTTCTACAGGCCAATGTCTGAGTTAGGCCCTCGGGGCATTAAAATAAATATGCCTTGCTTCTGCTCTAAAGAAACCCATAGTCCAAATGCATGACATACACCAAATGCATGACTAAATTGTGTTGTTATAGATGTTCTCTAGTTAGCTTAAAATTTTAAAGGAACTATGATACTTCCGATAAAATACTGCACAGAAGGGGTGCCTGGGTGGCTCAGTTGGTTCAGTGTCAGACTCTTGATTTCGGCTCAGGTCATGATCTCAGGGACGTGAAATCAAGCCCCAAGTCAAGCCCCATGTTGAGCCCTGCATTGGGCTCCGTGCTGTGTGTGAAGCCTGCTTAAGAGTTTCTTCCTCTCCCTCTGCCCCTCCCTTCCTCTCCCTCTCTCTCTCTCTAAAAAAATAAATAAATAAAACAAAAAAACTGCACAGAAAGTGATTTCTATCTGAATTTTTTTTCTCTAAAAACAAAGAGAAGAAAAAAACAGAGAGGAAATCTTTACCCTCATTCAAACTAAAAAACAGTCACAACTCTTCACCAGAATGCGAAAAACCAGGACCTACTAGAATTAGGCCCATATGGTGGGAGGGCACACTCCCCTGATTTCTGATGTAGGCAGAGCTCTTCAAAAGGAGGTGGTCCACCCTGAGCGTACCTGCTCAGGATCCCACTTAATCAAACAACACCATTTTCTATGGCCATGTCCAACACTACTTAAACATTACAAAATATTTTGTAAGCATTATAAACTCTGCCCCAGGTTCTGTGATACCACTTCCTCCTGGGTTTTACCAAGTCCCCAGCTGATATCTCTTCCAAAATCATTTTCTAAGGTTATCCCTCTCTATGTTTCTATGATGTGTTAGGATTCTCATCATGATTATCCGCAGCCCTCTCCCAATTGATCTACTGCATATGCATGATTCAACTGACTTTTATATATCGAATTCAGCAGTCCACTTCTTAGCACAAAACTGTCTCCTGACTTATTGATACAGAAGCCAAATACCCACTATACATCTCCATTTAAATGTCTCACAGGTGTTCAAAAGGTAATTGGTCCCAAAGGGAATCCATTGCTCCTCCTGAATGAGTTCTCCATCTCTTACTCTTGTGAGTGACATCATTACCTGCCTCATCCCTCAGACCTGGGGCTGAGCCTCCTGCCACATCCAGCTGGTTATCAAGTGTTATCAAAGACATGAGTAAGTGCTCAAAATACATCTACTTAATAAATCTCTCAAAAATTTCCCTACTTTCCTATTCCCAAGGCCTTGTCTTGGTCATGACTTCATGTTTTTACTTACTTATGTGGCAGGAAAAGCCTCTCCATCAGCCACCTTACCTCTGTTCCTACTCCCTTTAATTCACAGATCACACTACACAGGCTACCAGACTGGTGTATATTTAAATCATATCTATTTATTCCTGTCCCTCTCCAATCTTAACTGTTACCTCATACCTATAGGATTAAGTATTAACTCCCTACTATGACATGCAAAGCCCTTCAGAACCTATTATCTGCCTATCTAACTTTTATCTGCCTTCAGAACCTATTACCTCCCACCAATTCCTGCTCCTGCCTTCTATGTTCCAGCCACACTTAGCTACGTGTAGTTCCCAGAGGCCCATCTGTTTCACGCCATGTTACTAGTTGCTCCTTCTTCTTAAGGGGTTTGTCCTCCCACTTTCTTAGTGGCTAGCATCTTAATTGCAGTTTATGACAAACACTCTCTCCTCTGTGTGCACTTCCTGGACATCTCCATCGTCCCCAACCATCTTCTGACATACCTTCAACCTCTCCCCCACCGTGAGAGTTAAGTGTTCTTCCTTTATGTTATCATATACTCTTTGCACATTTCTATCACAACAAGTATCACAATAACACTTTATTACAAGTCTAGCTGGCATGCATGACATTCCAGGAAACTCTAGACCCCTTGAAGAATATATCTAGTGTCAATTACAAAGCTTTGTCTATGGTAATATGCTAAACAGTTGATACATTTGATGAATGTATCAAAAGACTTAGACAAGCCAAATGTGGATGGTGTAAATTTAGGGAAGGATAATTAATAATAGATGTGATATGATTTAATAGTAAAATATAGACAACAAAACAGGCAATGTAACTTTGAGTTATAGCAATAAAGATACGGTATGAAGAATGAAAAAGAAATTCTCCTTAATTTCTCTAACGACCAGACCACAAGTATAGGAGATACATAAAATATATTCAGCAGAGGACTGCCAAAAAAAGAACTCAAAAGTATACCCTATTAGGAAATATGGAAGGAAATAGAAAAAAGGAGACTGGGGCAGGGCACTATAATTGTGTTCAAATACACAGGGCCCTGATGAGGGTTGAGCTCATTCTGTATAATCCTAATGTAGATCACCTGAATCATAGTTGGAGCTACAGGGATAGAAGGATACAATAAAGATTTCATCAAGCCTGTACCACACATTTCCACGCAATAAGCCAACCAGAAAGTAAGATCACTCATTGCTACTTAGAAAAGACAAATAATTCACAATAATATTGAACACTTACTACAGGCCAGCTATTTTTCTAACTGCCTTATAAGCATTAACTAATTAAATCTTCAACACAATCCGATGTGGTAGGTACCATTATGAAAACATAGACCGGGGGGTGCCTGGGTGGCTCAGTTGGTTAAGCAACTGCCTTCAGCTAAGGTCATTATCCCAGGGTCCTGGGATAGAGTCCCGCATCAGGCTTCTTGCTCAGCGGGGAGCCTGCTTCTCCCTCTCCCTGCTACTCCACCTGTTTGTGCTCTTCTCTCTCTCTAACAAATAAATAAATAATCTTTAAAAAAAAAAAAAAGAAAGAAAGAAAGAAACATAGCCTGGGGGCACCTGGATGGCTCAGTCAGTTGAGCGTCTGACTTTTGGTTTCGGCTCAGGTCATGATCTCAGGGTCATGTGATTGCGCCCCCAGGTCGGGTTCCATGCTCAGCGGGGAGTCCACTTGAGATTCTCTCTCTCTCTGCCCCTCCCCCAACTCGTGTGCTAGCGTGCACCCTCTCTCTAAATAAATAAATAAATCTTAAAAATTTTTTAATTAAAAAAAAAAAGCCCAGAAAGGTTGAGTAATTTGACTAAGTTCACACAGCCAGTAAGAGGGGCCGAGCTTCAAATACAGGCAGTCTGGCTCCAGACTCCCTGCTTCTAACCACCTCACTATCTGACCTCACTCTGAAACTCTATATTATACCTAGA